CACAGAGGGTCTGGGTCATCGCCGCAAGTCCCCCGAGTTTATGCAGCTCATTTTCGTGAACTAATGAATATCTGATGTGTATCAGGTGGGCCCGCCTACTTTCAAAGGCAGAGCTGTGATTGGCACGGACGGATGTCAGTAATGTTTGAACTACATGTGCCATCTACGCTGTCACAATAACTCGAGCTTTAGATGATCTAGAGAGTTATTAGACATGAAAACTTGCTCATGTGTACGCCCTATAGGCATTGTTTTAGGAGGTGCCACCTGTTGATAACGTTTTAGTACTTTCATGTCCTTTCTTCATTCTTTCCAGGAGCTCCTCGTCAGTTAAGCATATTAAGAACATGCCATCGATTTGGTGATAATACTAAGTCAGTCATGGGTTACAGTGATTTTAAGTTTATTTGTGCTCCTCCCTCCTCCATCTCGTCCCATTTCTTCTTATGCACACATTAGAGGAGGCACGCAGTTGGGCACCCCACAGTCATACCTGAACAGTCGTACACACAAGCATGTACATGTGTACATACACTATACGGTAGCGTTCAAGGTATGATGTCACCTAGAGATTAAAAAAAGTATTTGCCCATTTTCGAATGACAAGAATGGATTACTTTTACACTTAAAAATGTTTAAATTTTAATTTATTTCATGATAAATAAATTTAGCGAGTTTTAAATTCATATAATAAAAATCACAAATGTAAAACCTCAAATAATTTTAAAATGTATTTTCTAAACATAAGACCATTCACTGAATAACATGTCTTTTTAAAAATCTCAAACTTTATTATGTGATGTGACACGTGGGAAGGACTGGCTTGTGTTTACTTGAAAAAAAGAAGTTGCAAAATAATATTGCTAGTATAATTCCATTTTTGTTTCGAAAGACAGCACTTAAAGCGTTTCATCATTTCTATCTGATTCTTCGTTCTTTCCACCGCATACAGTTCATGAGAAGGCACTATCCATCTTTCAGTTGATTATCTTCACACTTTGAACCATTTCTTCTCTTTCTTCGTCATAAATTCTTCAACATTTTTTGAAAGATAGCCGGTTTTAGCTGCTAGGTG